TGATTGATTGCTGGTGAGGTGATCTTCTGGTCTTTTGTCTCTTTTGAATAGTATGTAGATGAATAGTATTTATTATTTAGTAGTTTTGAATAGTATGTAGATGTATGTAGATGTTCCAGGTGCAATTTGGAAGGATGTCAGGAGAAAAGGTAAAGATACAGTTTTGTCCTTTCTGAGATTCAGAATCATCTCTCATTTTTCTAAGACCTTCTAAGGTGCTTTAAACTGCCACCATAAATTGGGTTATCCAGATTGCAGCCTGTATCATGTGTTCATGATGCTTTAGTAGACAAGAACCATCCCCTCTCCAGTCGGCTGCCAGTGTTTTGGGGCAAGAGTTGCTCAGAGGCTGGTCAAAGGCATGGCTAATGATGTAGTGATGTACATCATGCTAGTGATGTAGGGAAGGGAGTTTATCCCATAAAAAGTCACCTGACCTCCCTTCCCCTTGCCTTCTTTTTCCTCTTTGCTGTGGCAAAATCCCCCTTGCTTAAGCAAGAAAAAGTAGTTGCTTTTCAGAACAAGAAGGATTGGTGTAAAAAGAATTTTAATTATAGGCTGAAAACAAGATAAGGCTAAAGATTTTTAATTAAGAGGGAACTTTGGGGTTGCAAAGGTGATATGGTCCTACTGTAAATTGAAAGGTACAGTCTATGTAACATACAAACAACTTTCTCAGATCTGACACATTTACTACAGTATCAAGCTTTTGTGTACTGCAGTCCATGTAATCAGATACATGGAATATTACGTCCTGTTGAAGAAATATATGTACATCTATGTGTAAGAGGTCAGACAGAAATGAAATATTAATGGTTTGGCATTTTGCTGAAGCTGTATTTGAAAAAAAATTAAATATATAATTATAAATTGTAATATACATATATATCAAATTGGTGTATAGGATAAGTGCCACTTTTCTTTCTATTAGCTGACAAGCCACTGAATATCTCTAGAAGAGTCACAAAATGTTGCTATCAGATGCCCAATTGTTTAGCAAACTTGGTATTTTAGCTATGTTGTTGTTATAGTTGCCTATCCAGCAGACTCTTGGCAGCTTACAAAAATCCCAAAAAACAGTAAAAACATAAAACCACAAAGACAGCCGAACCCAAACCAACAAACAATAACAATAACATGTAACCACAACAGGGCCCCCACAAACTCATTAACCCCATGCCTGCGATCAGAGCCAGGTCTTAAGGGCTCTGGTCAGGGTGCTGTCCATATCTCTGGGGAGATGCTGCCCCGAGAGGCTCGGGGCCGCAACAGAGAGGCACGCTTCCTCAGTTCCACAAGATGTTTAATAGACCCACACCCACTCTGCCTGCCAGGAAGGCAGAAACAATTGGATGTAGGCAGTCCCTCAGAAAACCAGGCCCTATGCCATGAAAGGCTTTATAGGTGATGACCAGCACCTTAAATGGCACCTGGAAGCTGAGTCGCAACCAATGTAGTTCGCGTAGCAGTAGTAGTATGGGTATAGTGAAATGTACCTGTAATTGCTCACACTTTTGCATTTTGAACCAGCACTAACTTCTGGATGGTCTTCAAGGGTGGCCCTATGTAGGGTGCTTGTCTGGTAGTCCAACCATGAGGAGACAAGGGTGTGAGCAACCCTCCATAGGGTGTCCCAGTCAAGGGGCACAACTGGCACACAAGATGAACCTGTGCAAAGGCCCCCTGGCCACAGGGTCCACCTGCTGTTCAAGCAGGAGCTGTGAGTCTAGGAGTTGTGCACCAGTCTTGAATGGGGGAGTGTAACCCCATCCAACATCCAATGATGAAAATGTTCCCAATCAAGGGGGGGGGCCAAATAGCCAAACAGCCATAGCCATTCAGTCTTGTCAGGATTCTACCCCACCCAGGCTCAACCAGCCTCCAGACACTGGGTCAGTACATCAATAGCGTCACCTGTGCAGCCCAGGGTTGAGATATAAAGCTGGGTATCATCGGCGTACTGATGATAGTGAGCCTTGAACCAACAAATGACTTCACCTCACCATATAGCCCATATGTTCTATGTAAGTTTCTGTTTATATCTTCCAGTTATCTACAGGTTTTTTCAATATGACTGTTAAATTAAATAAATAAAATAAAAAGATATGTGCTCCATCCAAAAATGAATATTTTACCAAACTCTGTTTTGAAAACAATCAAGTTAGGCACTTGTAACTGCTCTTAAATAATACTTAACCCATACATTATTGCCAATGCACACTTTTTTATACTATTGTAGAATTACTTTGGGATCTTACTGCCTTTATATTTTCAGCATGGCAACCTTTGCATTGGGAACTGGCTAATAAGAGACATGGAGCCACAGAGAAGGAGCATATCATATGAATTGCTGCAGCATTTTCATATCCCAAGTAGCCAAAGCTTATCATATAAACTGGAGGTTATGGAAGAAGATAGGGCATAATAATGCCTATAAAAGTACCTTGAGAATAGATAATTGGGTTTTAAAAGAAATGTTAAGCCTGTATAATCAATATGGGTTCAAAAAGTGATTGTACCTTGAACAGCTTTGTTTGGTATACTAGCCAGGTTTCCTTCTAATTTTTGGCAGTAATCACGTGCAGCACTCCAGTTTTTCCTCTCCTCTTCTCTGAACCCAAATATTTGGAAGCACTAGAGGAATAAGAAGCCCTCCAAAAATCCATCAATCAAGAAAGGATTGATTAAATAAAAGATAATGGAAACCACTAACAACTAATATAATCAATCATGAAATGAAATCACAAATTTTTAGCAGAATTTAAGAAGTAATTCAGTACTAATAAAATCTAATTTCCCATTTTCTTTTGGGAAAAATGTAATCAAAGCAATAATAAAAGATAACATTTTCTGACTTAATTATATGCTGATTCACTGTCTGCTTTTTGCTACATAATTGACTCCAACATATTTTTGTATCAATGATAGTTATAGAACCAGGTTTGTCACTGCCAGGAGAGAGGGACTGATGAAAAAAGAGTGTAGCAATCTTTTAAAGTCTTGGTGGCATTTGAGATATATTTCAAGGAAGAAAGACTCTTCAAATGACATTGTTTATAGACATTTCCCCTGAAACTGTAAGTTAATAAATATTAATAAAAGTAGGAGGGAAAAACAATGTGAAAACATTTAAAATTCCATTTACATTTTATGGCAGCAGATGCAAAAATGGCATTTACCTGAAATGCTAAACCTATTTCTAAAAAATATGGTTCTTTTTGTATTGGTAGCATTTATATTTTTCATTTTTACTGTTACAGGTATTTCTATTTTGTAGCACTATTAACTCTGTTCAAATATTGTACCATATGCAATAGATGTGATTTAAAAGGGATGTAGCATCATGAAAATATCTCTCCCTGAACTACCTATGTTCACTGAGAAGTCGGAAAAAACCACTGACTACAGATTACCTCTAGGATATTTGAATAAGGATGGTATCTCAACATATTAACAATTACTATGTCAGTTACCTTGTCATTAAACCAAAGCCAGCCTTCAGCGCACCCTTTCTGAGGTGCAGGTAATGTGGGAGCCGCAGTTGTACGAACAGAACTATTGTGTCTTTCACAGATGAAACCATTCTGAACACCACAGTTGATATCATTCCATACACCTGATCAAAGAAGTTATATTGTCAACTGGGAAGATTAAATTATTCTTAAAATAAATACCAGCAGATCAAATGTATGTTGTAACTGAAATAATGAGGATGAGAACAATAATGACAAAGCGCAACATACATACTGGAATCCTACAGTATTTATGAAGCAGTACAGGTAGTCCTCACTTACTGACCACTTGTTCAGGGACCGTTTGAAGTTACGACAGCACTGGAAAAGAATATTTAGGACCAGTCCTCGAAGTTGCAGCCATTGCAGCATCAACATGGTCACGTGATTGTGATTTGGGCACTTGGCAACCAGTGTGCATTTACAATAGTCTCAGCATCTCATGATCGTATGATCACCATTTGTGACCTTCACAGCCGGCTCCCAACAAGCACAATCGATAGGGAAGCCAGCAGGAAGTCACAAGTCACAGTCACATGACATTGTACTTAATGACCACAGGTGATTTACTTAATGAGCACAGCTGGAACTGCTGTCTTAAGTTGGGCATGATCACATGTCTTGCACTTTACGATAGCATTGCTTAGTGACAGAGTTGCCGGTCCCAATTGCAGTCATTAAATGAGGACTACTGTATTCTTATTTTTGTAGTTTGTATGTCAGTAATTCCAAAATATGGTTTTAAAGAAGTGATTGGCAAGTGACTGTCCAGCTATTTTGGAATGCAATTGCCTTAATCCCTGACCATTAGCTAGACTATTTTGGGTTTAGGAGAATTGCAAATTGATTTTCCCTGGGAATGTATGATACAGTAACTAAGTTAAGTAGGGTTGGATCTATGGATGCAACCTTAAGTTCTTGGTTGGAAAATAATAAGCTATAATAATAATAATAGGCCTAGTTAGAATAGTTGGAAAATAATAGGCTATGAAATATTTTTAAAGTTACTAATTTATTAAAATTCAACATAAATGCAATCTTCAATTTCTCACTGTAATATTTCTCAAGAGGTTTATTCTAGGCTTTCACTATTATTCACATAATATTAACATGTTATTTAGAGTTATAAAATAATGGATTTTCCAATACAAATGTGGAATCTATAACAATGTGTGCTAGTTATATATTAAATAATGCTGTGCCTTATCCTGAACATATACATACAGAGAGCTGTTAAAAAACTGAAGTTTATTCTACTTGCCTGAATCATAATACATAACTACACAATTTTCATCATCATTTGCAAAGTTGGGTTCACCGGGGCCCCAGGCTTCATATGTTACTGGAGTTCCATCCATCCAGCTGAAGAAAAATATTTGACAGTCATCTACAATGCATTAATTTATTAAACTGAAGTTTTTTGTATGCCTTCTTTTTAGCCAAAGAGATAGCAGGATGAGAAAAAAATGTAGCTGTTGACATGTCATGTACAAAATATTTGGAACTTTAAATATTCTGAATTATATATGTGTGTTCTGATCTTGCCAGGTGTGCCCTGAAGCTGTTTCTGACCATTCTGGAAGTATTCTAAGCTTTTGAAAAGTCCTGTTTCAAACCTGAAACTTCAAAATCCAACCAAAGTCATTTCAGAATCAGAACATTTCCAAAACGGTTTGCATGGTGACAAAACACTCCTGGTGTGGTCCAAATAGTTGCTCTGAACTCAAAACAATTGTCTGAAACTCAAGAAGGGGTGTTCTGAGCTAGGACACATTGAATTTGAAATGTTTTGTACACTTCCATTATTCAATTTCTATGTTATTTAAAGACAAAATAACCCTGCCAAGTGGACAATACTGACAGTATAAAACAAAAGTAACTGAAAGTATGTAACCAAAATGTATGGCACATGTACAAATAATGAGAAATTATAAAAGCGTATCAGATTGTCAATTATCTAGTTTTTTTTAAAAAAAGAAATTCTAGGACTCTAATACCTAGAATCTCCTAGTAGCATGGCTACACTATATGGGATATCACTGGAATTTTCTTTAGGGAAATGTTTATTTCTGGTTTCCCATTTCAGTGAATGGACTTACGAACAAGCCAGTTATGAAGATATTTAAATAGATTTCTGAGAACGCTCTTTTGCACTGAATGTGTTGGGAGCTAATTGCAGTTAGTTTATAATTTATAATAGAATTTATCTTAAAGAAATGTAATAGGTTAAGTGCTATATGTACCACCAGCTGACAGGCTTCTGTTCTGTAATTTACAACATGGATAGTAAGTTATTGCAGAAAGCCAAAAAAGTCTAATCAGGTAGGCTGCTAGTAACATAACCTCTATCATATATTTTTCCCTGCATAGCCTAATAATATTCAAAAGTTTGAAGTATCACATGGTAACGTCCATTGTTGGATAGAGTTAAATGTTTGTGGAAATATAGTAACCCCAGAAGCTAATATTAGTTTTGTTTTCTAATGGCTGAAGTTTATTACCAAATCCGTAATGGTATGTTGAGAGCTTGAGAAAGATTCACAGCCTGCCTACCTGCACATTTTTTGGTGAACCACCTCCTCACTGGGTCACAGATAGGTTAGTAGTAAAAAACTGAAAAAAGTGTTATCTTAAGAAGCTGAGAGAAAGTGAAAGTATTGCAATGAAAGTTGAGATTTTTAAAATCATATTGCTTTCCCTTTCAATAAATCTTGTTAAAGAAAACCCTGGCAAAATCTTGTTTTTCAGCAAAAGTTGGCTGTCAAGAGCTTAACAAAGTCTTTCTTATTTATATTTATTTCATTTTATTATTAAAAATAATTTCAAAACAAAATTACACTGCATGCTGTAGAACTTGTTAATCAGTTTTATATACTTTGTTCACTTACCCAAACTTTTTGTCAAGACTCAAGATTAAACCAATATAAGAATCATGATGAAGTCCATAAGTGAAAGCCTAAAACATAAAATAAAGAATAGGAAATAAAAATAGTTATTTTCTGCCTTAATATAAAGTAATAATCTAATTCAGTTATTCTATAGAGCTTCAGAACATACCATGCAATATAGGAAACAGTTTATAATGTTGGATAGAATCTTTCATAGCATGCTCGTGTTTTTTCAAAACACAATTACAATGTGTAATTAAAAACATTTTTTTGCATATGTGTAATTAAAAACATTTTTGAATAGAAGCAACTAAACATAAAATAAATGACATAATTTTGAAATATACTCTGCTTTTTAACAATGTAGTATTCTTCTTTTTGAAAATTCATTTGTGTAAAAGGGTAGCTTCTAACTTACTGCACTCTTTAAATAATTGGTTTCCAGCTAACATGGCTGTACTAAAGTTCCACTGATATTAATTCAGTGACCGTCATCATGTTATGTATTTTATCCAAAAGTCACCACAAAAGCTAGAAAGAAATTCTTCAGTCTCTGAGAGGGCGAAGCTGGCGTCGCGGCGATACGGCGGGCGATCCTGGGCTCCCAGGATC